TGAAGAACATGTAAAAATACAACGTGCAACTTCAGTCGCGTATTGTGCTTGCTGCTGAAAAGTAAGAAAGAATTTTGCTTATGAAGCAAAATAATACATCGATTTTTTTCAACTACAATACTCTTGCACAAATCCTCGATAAGCTGTGCCGTTAGACCGTAGTGATAGACGCATAGTCAAACCATCTGTATTAATGCTAAACTTTCAAAATATATCCATCATACCCCGATAGTAAAAGCAGATGTACACATAAGTACTCGACGGTGGATTTGTTTTGCAGACGCCATCGTGCATGTTAAGATAAGAGTGGGACGACCTAGACAAACACAATTATATCCAGAGTCGCCTCAAATCCCTCACATTTCGTGTGTGAAGGTGGATATGTTTGGGTGTGGGAGTCTGCGTTTTGCATACTCTCACCTGCGTCCATAGTCTACATCTAAAACCCTAACTGGTCGCGGATCCAGAAAACTAGCGAAGATGTGGCAGTTTATTCGAGGAAGCGGCAATCATGGTGCAAATTTTATTTTTAAAACATATTCGAAGTAGTATAACATCTTTTCGAACGTTTTCCAATGTACAAATGTAATATTGAGTCGCATATCTTGAAAAAGAATCTTTATCATACTAAAATAAGTGATAATGTATGCTAGAATATTTGAATAGTACTCATCCATTGTGGAATGGAATAGTGCATGTAAGGGATCTGATGTAAACGGTACATATGGCATCCTATATAGTCGTTATCTTAAATATAGGAGAGTGTGTTTTTTGGTTTGAATATGCGTTTTAGCTAAAATCATATTCAAACACGATCTTTATTCTGAAATTAACTATAGAAAATGGAATTGATTTCGAGAGACCCTCTGTTTTGCTATTACTTATAGTATAAGTCCAATATTTCAATTTTTGTAGATTTAAAAGAGTTCGTCTTGAGATACATGGATCCAGGAACTAATCTAAAGGTTGTCTATCAAACGGCGGTAGCTATTAAGGAAATTGTGGAAGTCGTCAAAGCTAATCAACAACAATGCAAACGATTAAGCGAAAGGATTGATGCAATCACATCAGCCATGAAAGCAATACCTGATGAAGAACTACAACGATATGAACGCCAGAAGTCATTGAATAACTATCGCCATTGTATTGAATATTGTTGTCAATTTGTTACTCAGTTTCAAGATAAAAAATCCTGGTTTACGAAGATCTTCCACAAGCAAAATTATAGAGAAGAATTTGAAGAATTGAACCTTCGACTTACTCAATGTGCCACTGATCTTAATTTAGGAATTAGTTTGAAGCAGATTTTCGATCCTGAACTGGATGTAAGCGACCAAGCAACGGATCTAGATGATATTAAAAGTAAACTTGATGAAGTTGCAGAGCTGATGATACAAAAACAAGATGAACAACTTCGATACATTGAAGGAATCGAACAAGATATGGAGGCGCGATTCACTTCGTTTAAGTATCAACTCGAACTGGCTATTTGGAAAATAAGTGACCCTCAGAAAGCACAGAAAATTGTTGAAGAGGAGCATGCTTTTTTACATATTCCGTATTACGATTTAATACTAGAAGAATGTATCGGACAGGGCGGATTTGCTGATGTATATCGTGGAAAATGGTTGTCACGAGATCATAACGTAGCTATCAAAGTCATTCGAATTCAATATATAGATGAAAGAGTTAAACAAGATATTGTTAACGAAATTTCAATAATGCACCGAGTTCGCCACGATCATATTCTCAATATGTTTGGTGCCTGTATGGAACCAGATAAATATGCACTTATCGTTGAGTATATGTCTCTTGGTTCGCTTTATGATGTTTTAAGACGGCAAACACCACAATTCTCATGGTCTGATCGGTGCTCAGTTGCTACTCAAATGGTCAACGGCATCAATTATTTGCACAAACTCTCAAAGCCCATTATCCATCGTGATATCAAATCATTGAACATCCTTATGACTGAACATGGAAAAGACTTTCTTGTTAAAGTTGCTGACTTTAGTCTTGCGAAAATACGTCACGAAGCATCACGCCAATCGTCCTATGCGCCGCCAGTCGCTACTTTGTTATGGAAAGCTCCTGAATTATTTGTAATGCATGGAAAACATACAACGGCTAGTGACGTATATGCTATAGGTGTTGTATTGTGGGAACTAGCAACAGGTTGCGAACCATATGCAGATATGGATGTATCTATGATCTATGTATGTGTTTCACAGGGACAACGGATGGCTATTCCATCAAATGTTCCCAGTTCGTTCGCGGAGCTGATTTCAAAAGCTTGGGCACAAGAACCAAAAAAAAGACCAACCTGTCAAGAACTTCTCAATTCAATAAAGGAGATCGCCATAGAACTAGATACAAATAATAAGCCAATGGCAGGTAATCATAGTTATGTTTTTTTACTGTGTTTTCATTAGAGGGATCTCAATGTATAGAAAGTCAGGCGTTTTTAGAATTGAGCTATCGATATAGTCTGAACTAGATCAATACAATTCACAGTAGCTTTCAGAAGAAAGATCCTCTACATATTAAAATAAACTTTTAAATATTCACCTAATCTATTTCTACACTTATGCTGCTTCTGTCAAACCCAAAATTATAACACCTCTACATACAAAAGGTAAGACTCGAAAGTGGAGGGTGTGGGTGTGAATCTCTTCTTCTCCTACACCTACACTCTTCAACACTTTCTCAAAAGTATCTCTTTGTAAATGAGAATAATTTTCCCATTGACTGGTCTTATGGTCCACCACTGAGATAACTTGGAGTTTACCACGATTCTCAGAAGAGACTTCTTATAAAACCATCGTCTGCGTCTTGCATGATTTTGTGGTTGTCTAAAATTTTTATTTAGAACCTCAAGAGTTTGCTGCACCCAGCACATGCAGGGAACTTGGTTGTAAAGGTCGTATTTGTGCCAAGTGCCACAAGTGCCGTGATTGGCATTTTAGTGGTGATCAAGACCAATGGAGCTGGGTCTGCAATTACATGAATTGGACAATGGCGGATGAGACTCGTTGGTTCACTCGTGACACTGTTGACTGTCGTGCTTGGGAGCTTTTTACGAAACGTGATGGTGCAACCTGTCTTGATAGTATTGATCCTCGTGAAGATCCTAGTTTTTTTCTTCATGATCACATATGTCTCTGTGAGAAACACTAATTTTCTTTTCAGGATAAACATAAAAAACGTGTTTGCAACGGGTCTGTTCCTTAACGAATATCTATATTTGAATAAATACGAAGAGTAAAAATAAACATGGGCGGCGCAGGCTTAAATTTCTAGGGGAAACAATATTTTTTAAATTTAGTAGTAATAAAATATCTTCTCATTTCACCACTTAAGCACAACAATTTTTGTTTCCGAAATATTTTTTGTGTTTCGTTGTTTTTCAACGCAAATTCATTTACGGTAATATCTAAATTAATATGAAAACTACGTTTAATGTTTAGTAAAGACAAACTAGATGATCGTTCTTGACCTGTTGTATTCCGAATGTATGTTTTAAGCCTTCATAAAGATGAGAAACTTCTTTCACATTCACATACAATAAACGCAATTGTCCATAATATCTTAAGCAACTCATTCATCATGGTAAGCGATAAATGGAAATTATTTTGTAAAAAGAATTTTGTTGCTGATGCTAATGTCATCTGATCTTTTTCACCAAGTGCTACTTCATACATCCGTTGTTCTGTTCTTAATTCATCGTTATGTAAAAACACTTTTGTTAAAAATATTTCGTCACATAACACGAGCACCTTGATATTATTTTCATTAAACCTTTGTTTAATCGATTGTGTACTTACATATAATACAACATAAAAAGAATTAACACGATAAGTGTTACACGTTTCTGATACCCTCACCCTGAATTCTCTACCACACGTAGAGCTTCTATTTTTATTACTATATGCGTTTCGCTATTGGTATGTGTTTCTCTTACCCCCATGCCTACATCTACAGTCGCTCACTCCATCGAGATAGTGAGAATTTTGTTTATTGTTTTCTAAGCATGTGCGTTTTTGCAATAGAATTTCTTATATTAACTTTATTATCTTAACGAACAGAATAATGCAGTTTTTTTTTCAGAACTGTAATAGCTAGGACTCGTTGCGTCAGCCAAAATTGTTGATTTTTTCTTATCAGTCCGAAACAGTCAGTTAATGTGCAAACAACAGCTTCTGCGGGGAGGCCAAGCAAGAAGCTATACGCTTGTCGCTTATCTTTCGGAAGAACGGGTAAAAGTACAACGTGCAACTTCAGTCGCGTATTGTGCTTGCTGCTGAAAGGTAAGAAAGAATTTTGCTTATGAAGCAAAACAATACATCGTTTTTTTTCCAACTGCGATTCTCTTTCACAAATTCTCGATGAATTGTGAAGTTAGATCGTAGTTATAGATATTCAATCACATCATCGATGTCAATACCATATTATGAAAATATATCCACAAACCCTTGATACTAAAAATAGATATATATATATAAGTACCTGGTAGAGGAGTTTTTTGAGCATGCGACCGTGTATGTTGAGATGAGAGTAGGAAGAACTAGGCTTTGCTCAGGAAATGGGTACCGAAGGAGAAAGGTAGCAAGTTTTTTTAGATCTAAACTATCATCTTCGTCGGTGTTTATACTCGCAAAATACAATTATATCCAGAGTCTCGTTAAATCCTCGAATTTAGTGTGTGAAGGTGGGTGCAGATGCGTGTGCGCTTCCATTATTCTCAAAATCACATCAACCGACCACATCCACATTCACATCAGCACCAACACTCACACCCACACTCAAATCCCTACTCTCATGCACACTCACACCCTCAAGATATGCCCTGTAGTGTATCTTTCGCCTTCACTCACACCCATATCCTCAAAGAAATAAATTCAATAGAATTTCATTTTATTATTCCATTTTCAAGTATCGATATTGTCCTGGCTCCTTAAATATTTGACAAAAAAGTTTTAGATTTTATTATTCTTTTTACGATGACAAATCGATTTACGGAATTCCATGAAGAGAAAAAGAATCTGTCACCAATAGCTGGTTATTGGGCCTACCCATTGGTTCCTCTTTCACAATCACTATCGAAGGTCGCCGATCAAATCAATGAACTAAATCGTTCGATTGACGAAGCAATGAAACATTGTCATTATCCATCGGAACATGGTCTTAGTCGTGATGAATCAGCGGCAATTTTATTATATACGATGGAAGCTGACGAATACAGCTTCTATATTGCATTGAATAGAATATTGCGCGATGAAAATCGAAGAAAAGCAGTACCATGGTTCTCGTACTTGAGATTATTCGATAGTGGCCTAAGAAAATTACCCACAGTGAAAGGATGTATTTGGCGTGGAGTGTCGCATGACATAAGTCATGATTATAAAAAAAATGATGAATTAACTTGGTGGAGTATTACTTCTTGCTCATTGGCGGTCGAAGTCGTGGAAGATTTTCTAAATTCCAAGAAAAATGCCACCTTATTTATGATCGAAGCCGTCAATGCAAAGAACATCGCTGGTTACACTTTATTTCCCACTGAAGAAGAGGCCATATTACCCATGGGGACCAAATTACGCGTGCGCAGTAATGCAATGAAGCATGGCAATTTACGTGTCATTCATTTGGTGGAAATAACCGATGGCGTTGAAGAAATATCAACAGCGATGGATGCCACTTGTATTACACCTAAACCATCCACCCCAACGAAACAATCCAGTAAGTTCTTGGCTCTATATTTTCCTATATAGAACTAAGGTATCTCATAGATAATTGTTGAGAATGAGAGTGAGTGCATATATATTGCTCTGGTTTCTGGTGAATGAATTTAAATTTAGGGCTGGTTAGATCTCTGCTTCGTGAGAATCGAATTGATTTCTTGCAGAAAAACTAGAACCAGACATCAGGTTCGCCGCCAACAATTCATTCAGCATGAAATAGGATTTTTTGAGTGTGGGTGTGAATAGTCGTGAGTGCTGAGGTAGATGAAGGAGAGATATCAAGTCACCCACACTCCGGTCGATGAATATTTGAGGGTGATGAATTTAGCTAGATTGTAATGAGGGATCAACTTTTGAAGTTATCTGTTTTCGATCGATTTCATTTTCATATCACGATTTCGTAATTTAGTTGAGAGAACGACTAAAAACCAGTCATAGAATTCGTTGTATCAATTCAGAGACGTTATAGCAGGGTATGCTGTATTGGATGATTCTTCCGTATAAAATCACTGCTTCGAAACATTGAATGATTTAATTTTTAAGACGAATTTTTCAAAACATGTTCCGTTTTCTTTTCATTAAATGAAGATACGCTCCATACGATAGCTCAAAAGTGAGCACTAGAATCAAGATATAACAACTCTACCATCATTCTCTTATCAAATTCAATTGTGTTTGTTATACTTTACTTGTGACCAGAGTGCATGCACTATCTCTGCGTCACTTCTCTCAATTGACAAAACGATAATTAATGTTTTCTTTCTGTTAGTCATCTCCACATGGCACTAATTTGAACAAATCTCTTGATATAAAAAAGTATTTTAGAAAATGGATCGATGTAGAGACTATGATCCTTTCAATAATAGAATAGGTTGATCATTCATGATAAAAGATGAAAGTTTCTTAGGTGTATAGAGAGATCCTAGGTGTGACCTGTCTGTCAAAAAGAGTATTGTTCTTTTTTTCACCAAATATCCTTCATATTTTTTAGAGAGCATTACTATTCTTAAAGTATAAGGGTTTTCAACATTACGTGTTGAATGCTTATATGAATAGTTAAGTCACTTTAAATAACTATTCTAGCACACTAATAACTGAAATGAGCTGTGAGCGTGTCATAATGAAAGTCCTAGTGCTTTAAGAGCAATACTACTCTCCAGAAAAGCGAACAAAATACAAAGTTCAGAGAAGCTCTGCGCCAGTAAAGAAGAAAAACTTATCGATCTAGTAGTCGATATCGTTTTGTACAGGATCTCATGGCGGATCTTCTAGAAAAAAGATAAATTCTGAACAGTGACAATTGCTCAAAATATCAACAAAATACTAAAAATGTACTTATTTTGCCACGTCCGTTAATTTTTTGTTTTTTTTGATCAAAATTTCAAAATTTACAACTTTCTTATCATATGAGTTGGTGTGGTCCGTCAGCAAGTCGCTTTGTAGAGTGTGTTTTACTACATCTATTTATCGAGAAGACAATTTACAATTAGGTATCTGATTAAAGAAAATATTACTTTTCAAATCCACACTTCACTTCTAGTGTACCTTTTATCTACATTACGAACTCATTCAGGTGTCAATAACATTGTTTACTTTCTTTTAGATGTATCACAACTACCTCAACACAAGTCTGTTTCTAATGTACCAGCGTCGAAGTCAGAGTCACCGAAACCGGAGCCATCGAAACTAGGTATCTTGCTTAAAATGTAATAGTCATTTTCGTTAAAAAAACCTTCATTGGGCATAGCGCTCGTGTTAAGCTCAATGGTGGATCAGCTCGATCGGACATGCATCGATTAACGCTACAATGAAGGAATTCTATCTCACTGATGGAACATATGGATCCTTTTTGAAACGACTATGAGTAACGTTTCGCTGCACATTTTCTCTACGATGTGCTAGATCGTCAAATATCTACTCAATTCATCATTGTCTCGTACTCTAGCAGTTGAGTATCGTAGCGAGCATCTCAAGTGTATGGGTGTGGATCTCGATGCATCTTTCCTTAACCATCATCCATATCCACACTCTCATTAATCATTTTTTTCAGTTCCGCTGTCAAAAATGCGACCTCTTCGTGAAAATAGCAGCACATACGGGATGTGAAATAAAAGTACATTTTTTGTAAAATTAGGGTGCATCGACGCGAAATCCCCGACCCACTCGTCTATCAGATGCAGATGCCATTCAAATAAAGACAAGACATTGTCTTTGACGCTTTCTCTTCTACATCCAAAATAAAACTACTATTCTAATATTCCTTACAGTTTTAAGACACTTATAATAAAAAAACGCTGATAATTCTCAAATTCCTAAATACGCTAAATTCCACAATACTGAAAATTTCTGAAATTAGTTATCCCAAAAGTTTCCATTGCTGCACAGCAGGGGTTCTTTGCTCAATTGTAGAAAACCCCAATGTCTTGAAGATTATAAATTCGTGAAATGCTCAAATCGACGACACGTTAAATTAACAAAATGTGGGAAGTTCTTTAATATCGACTTCTGAATGACTCCAATTATCTGTATTCTTCAACACTTTCATAAAAGTATTTCTTTGATAACAAGAATAATTTTCCCGTCGACTAGTCCTATCATCCACTGCTGAGGTAATTTTGAGTTTACTACGATTCTCCGAATAGATTTCTTATAAAATCAACATCTGTGTCCTGGATGATTTTGTTGACTGCTTAACATTTTCATTTAGAACCTCAAGAATTTGCTGAGCCTGGTATGAGAATTCCTCAAAATTATTTCTTTCTCCAATCATCACTGATCACAAAAATATTTTGAAACGTTTATTCCTAACGTCAGAGAATAGACGAATACAAGTTTTGTCCTGAGCAGTCATATATTCTATGATTTGTTCATAGTTAATCATAACAAACTTGCATTCGCAGAGAGAAATATAATTGAACCAAATGTTAAAGGTCGTCCTATGAACTATTCTACTACTCAATAATTTTCAACTGTTAAGCTGATTTCAACGATTTTCTTCGCAAGACACAACATTTTGGAACACAGCCTTTGTGCCAAGTGCTATCGGTGTCGTTATGTTTATTCATTTTTCATACGTTCTTTAATCAATAGATAATGTTCATACCTTTGTTTTAGAGCTAAAGAAAAATAAACGAACAGAACCCTGATTCAACTGATTCATTTGATATGCTATCTTTTCTATGCTTAGAAGTTCAGGAGTTTTACTCTAAAATAATTGATATACATGAATATGATTATTGGCATTTCCGTAATAATTCATGTGTCATGTAAGAATATCAGTGAGCTACCCGATTGAAATATATACATTATTATCGACAAAATAAATCAACAAAACCTAGTGGTAATGGCGACTATTCAACTAATCAATGACTCACAAATAGTTCACCGTTTACGAATCGTTGGTGTCATGTCTATAAAATAGATCGACGAAATCTTCAAGACAAGTGGAAAATGGTCATACATTTAATATGTGATCTTCATTCTTGAATAGCAAGCAATATGGAATTCGCGGGTGACCGAAGTTAATGAGCAACACTATTGGGTACGGATAACTCTTTTTTCATGTGATATTTGATCGCCCTCATAACTCGAAAACTACGCATCAATATTAATAAAATAACTGAAAAGTATACCTGTAATAAGAACCATTTTACTTTCATGTAACCATTGAAGACCTGATGATTCACTATATCAGGTGCAAAGTGAGTTGAATGGATGAATATGACCATTGGAAAAATTACAAGCAATCGTTCATTACGTCATCTTCCAAATGTGGATATGTTCTAAGCCTTTATTTCGATGTACACCACATCACTGAATAAACGTATTGGACAGAGGAGGATAGGAAAACAGTTATTGATATACTATAGCATCTCTTTTGACAAAACAACCCATATGTTTGATTTTGTAGCTCACGAAATAAGTGAATAAATTTTTCGTAAACTTCGTTCGTTAATCTTGTGATTATTGATCAAGTCATTGCTTTGCAACTTTTATTTTAAACATAGATGAAAGTAAATGAATAACACCTTTGGTAAGTAACGATTCAATGACTATAAGATGTGCGATCAATTACATGAACTGCATACTTCTGTATGAAATTTCTGATGTAGACGAATAAAACACCAATCATGATTATTCATGAGTTATGCATCTTCAACTCATATTATTAGCTGGTAATTTTCATCTTTAAAATGAGAACGTTAGATAAACACAACATTGGTGGAAATAATTTATTTGGAACGTGATCTTCGATAATCTTAGCATTTCATCTTCTTTAATTGGAATATCGAAAAAATATGCATATAAAACCTTGATT